CTATTTTTTATTTTCGGGCCCCGAAGAAGGTAGGATCTCCAAAGGGAAATTTATAAGTTTCCTACAAGAAATAAAAAAATATTGCAAAAATACCATCCATATGTAATATATTGTACATCTACCTAATTTGTAAAAATATACTACATAAATCCCTAAAAATCAGTTACAAATAAGTCAACTCTCATTTACTTTTTCAATTCATGATTTACGCCCCTCTCTTAAAATTGACACGTTGTCATATCTCTCCCACTTTTATGGGCTTGATTAAGAGAGAGAAATGAAAAACATGCATATAATAAATAACTAGCTCATTTAATTTCGTAATTCTTGGAGCTGTCCCAATGGGTATATGTTGAGTTTATGTTGGTATATATTCAGTATATACTAATTCGCGCAGAGGTGTGGCATATGTTAAGTTTATGTTGGTATATATTCAGTATATGCTAATTCGCGCAGAGGTGAGTGTTATCCTGGTGGGTATATGTTGGGTTTATGTTGCTAATTAAAAACATATCTTCCATCAAACAATAAGTCTTTTTATTTTTTATTTATTTATTATTTGACTTTTATATAAAAGTATATATATAATTTATATTATAACAGATTACTTAATATAAACCATAAATATAAAAAAATAATATATTATGCATATACTACACAATATATGTTGGGTTTATGTTGAGTTTTTTATATTTTTTATTTTATAGTTCATTGAATGTTTTCAGTTTATGTTGCATTTTGTAATTATTATATTTTCAATATATTTTCTGTGTATATTGTCTTTTATAAACATATTGTACAGGTTACTTAATTTAAACGAAATTTCAGACCAATCAGTTTATGCAATTTTCGGCATATATACCCAAAAAATATACTGATTTTATACATAAAAAATTATGATAATTTTTTTTATCATGTAACAAAAATATACCAGAAATATATTGAATATAAACCATACATATACAAAAAAAAACCATTTATGCTTTGTCAAATTCGTTTAAAATAATATCTTCTAATATACCAAACATATACCTCAACTCCATCAAACCCACAACTGGAATTTTATAGACCACCCTCAACATGGATTAAGCAAATACAGACCCAACAAATAGCCAGATCTCCAGAAACTCTCTCTCGAGCATCGGTAAAATCATATCCACGGTCAGATCCAAAAACAAGATCATTTGTCACATTCATTCAATCTCCACACATCAAATCACATATAAAACCTTCAAATGCATATAGCAATAAACATAAACCTGCATTCACACTTCCCAACATCACTCAAACAACACAGCCTGCCATTATAACAAGTATCTACTACACATTCAAAATATTTCACAACAATTAGTGAAGTGCACGATCTAGCTAAACGAAAATCTTCATGAAAAAATAAAATTATGTTGAAAATCTTGAGATGGGTTTTGCAGAGAGAGAGAGAGGAGATGTGGGTGGAGATAGAGTTTCAATTTTTTTGTCCCATTGTTTAGGTTAGGAAATCATTTAATATGCCATGAAAAAGGGATAACCGTTATATCCCAATTCAGGTAAAATTGAAATATTTTTTGTTTAGTTAGGCAATTTTATAAATTAAATTGTAAGGGACATATAAGTGTAATAAAAATCATAGTAGGTGGTAAGGGGTGCAAATTCCTCATCTCCAAAACCCCCTTATATGTCTTAGGTATGAATTATAAAGTATTTTAAAAAATATAAAAGGGTGAAAAATGATGTGCAAACAGGAAATCTAAATTTTAGGATGTTATATGCCTTAAATTCGTATATTGAGTTATGCATGTCCAAAAATCGTGATTTAAATTCGTATCTTGTTCGACCAGTCTGTTCGCTCGAGCCGGCCAACCGATTTATTGAGTTCGCACTACCTGATATGGTACCCCATATCAATGCCCTACAACTCACGTTCAACGACCCGTATGCTCATGCACCATTATTGACATGTAGAAATATCATGCTCTGCATATTTTACAACCATTCTTATTATAAATCAACAACATTTTAGATCACGAGTATATTAGTATCCGCTTTTCTATAATAGAAAATAAAATAAAGGTAAAAATAAAATAAATGACAAACAAAAACAATACCGCATCAATTAACAGCTAGTCCCCGAATTACAATAATTCCCAAGTCCTAACTAAACCCTTTCACCCAACATTTGCAAAATTGAACAACTTGTTAAATATATTCTCAGGCATTACAGCACACAAACTGTGTTAGCTCAATATACACAGATCTGATTATTATGCTAACACATCTACTCAACTTACCTCCAAACATGTTCGCACACACATTTTCGATTGCCAAACAAACACACTTAAAGAGAGAGAGAGTGGCCGAAAATTTATACGGCCACAAGAAACAAAAACAAAACCACACTTACATCTTACGGCTATAAATGGACCCAAACCTGGCAGCAGCCCCATCCCACACGGGAATTCCTTGCCTTCTCACCTGACCCGAGTAACGATAACCAGCTCCCCTGGGCCCTGCCATGGAGAATGAACCCCTTTCAGAGACCGTGTCTGAATTCTCCCACCCATATGAGGCACTTAGCAGCTCCATTTGCACCCTCTGCTTTGGCGCGCTGTGAGACCTGACCTTGGCGCGGGAAGACTTGGTGTTGCCCATGTAGCTCGGGTTGTCCCCAAACAAGCTTCTCGAACACTCGGTCCCTCTTACATTGGGTCTACCAGAAGCCAAACGCACCCTCGGGCTGTCATCCCCCGCACGTGTGTGCCCTGCTGCCTGCTGGTGATCCCCACCGACGGCCGAGGCATCCTCGGGGGATGCGCTGGGGTGCGCCTTGTATGCAGACAAGTATTGGGAGGTGGGTGTATTTTGGTCATTCTGAGTTCTGTTGCGCCAGGGCTTCCACGTATCGATTTCGAGGATCTTGTCAGCTCGGGTGTCGACAGGGGGGTTCTTTTGATCCCAGGCGCATTGCTCCATCCAATGGCTTAGCCATTGAGAGGCGATTTGAGAGTTCTCATTGTTGCTGGTGGTGCTGCTGCGTGAGTTCGTGTTGTTACGCTGTAAATTTAGGGAGCTGCCTTTTGTGAAACCATTTAAAATACCCTTGAGGTTTCAAATGATTAGCAATAAGGTATAACAACAATAATAATAATAAGGGTAAATAATTTTTTCCAACCTGTACTATACATGCTTTTGGGATTTTCAACCTAAAGTATTTTTTGTTGTAAAATACAACCTGAACTATATATACAATCACTATTTGCACGCTCGACCACATCTGGACCATACATGTGTCCTTTTTTACAGATGATCGAACGGTCAAAAAGTAGTCTAGCGTGCAAATAATTGTATATATGTAGTTCAGGTTGCATTTTACAACAAAAAATACTTTAGGTTGAAAATTCAAAAAACACGTATAGTACAAGATGGAAAATATTATTTACCCTAATAATAAAACCTCAAGTAGGAGTGAGCACCAGACTCGGATAAAAACTGAACCAAAATCACTCCGGACTCAAAAATAACCATTCGCCATTTGACTTTATCCAAATTAGATTGAAAATAAAAATAATCTATACGGTTATGGAGACTTCACGAATATTCAAACCAAAGACCAAACCGGAACATCTCACGTCATACCGAACTGATAGAAACCCAAACTAAGAGCCGAACTATAACTTTAGATGTGACTTATCCTTTCATTTTACGTCAATATTAGTCCTATATTATTTGAATATGTTTATAATCTTAATAACATACACAAATACCAATTAAATTTATGTCATTTAAGATTTCCAAAAGTGTAAGTACATTACATTTTTTGTTATTTTTTCTTACTATTATAATATATAAAATAAAAAAAATATATATATATATAGATTCCAAAATCATATAAATTTTATTAATATATTTTATTAAGAGTTCAAATTTTCCTTACTAGGTTTTACAAACTAAAATTAGGATTCATTTCTATTTATTCTTAATTTATAAGGCAGATTTCAAACCAAATCTTTAATATTAAAGATAAATAAAGATTGATTACTAAAAAACATATCAGTGTTTAATTAAAACCAGATATTAATTTGAAAAAAAAAAAAAAAAGAAATGATTACTGTCTCGATAGCCCCGAATCTCCGGATTGAAGCGCACCGAAATATAAAGTTCTTTGAACAAAACCATCCCCATTTTTGGCGTGGTTCTGGAAATTGAATTTTTATGATCTCCGGGTTTTCGTTTGATTATGAAAATATTTTATGATCGAACCGAACACATTCAATGCTCGTACCTAAGGGGGACGTTTAAAGTTTCCCGACTAAAAGTAGAATACTCATTAGAAATGATGAAACTCAATTTCCATTCATAGACTTCGATTCAAATCGATCCATTGTATCTGAGTCAATCATGTGGGAGTCTATTTCACTCTATTCATAGTGTTCAGTCCCACTGTAACGCTAAGGCTTGAAGGAAAGGATTGGATAGTTATTGCACAACAACTTGCTTGAAGGCTAAAGTTTAGGTGATCTCGACTCTCACTGCTCAGGTATCTACAACTATTTCAGGGTGAGAGAGAGATTCCTAATTGCATCAACCGAATCATGCCACCCCTACCTTGTGGTTTGATTATGCCTTGTGTTTAAGTGGGTTAACTGTAGTATCTTCATAAAGGTTGGGGAGGGTTTCAGATACATCTTTTGCCTACGAATAGAAAAGTATAAGATGGAACCAAACCATAGTAGGTCTTCTGTCATTTTGTAAAATTTATGGACTTTTGGTATACTCCTAATGAGGGTGGTTTTGTAAATATCCCAAAAGCAACAGCAAATATTTCTCGATGTAGTATCAAATTTACAAGGTGCATTCTTAACAGGAGGTATTAGTTTAGTAAATATTAAGTAGCAGGGCATTAAATATGCGATCTTCGGGATATGTTTCATTTCATTTCTATCATTGAGTTGATTAATGCATCATGTAATCTAATTTTCTTCCGAACAAATCCAGCAAAAGAGTTACCTTTTGAGGTGATCCACCATTGCTTATGCTATTTGACTTCTCTTCATATTTTATGTGGTTCATGCAGCCCTTCAAATTGAAGTCACAAGACAAAAAAGACAAATGTAAATTTAAGAGTTGGATGGATGTTTTTAGCTGAGAAAAGACATTCAGACTGTTCCACTGAGAAGACTGGGGAAAAGAAAAAATAAAATAAAAAAATAGCGCATTCACTCACGGGATGATGGGAATTGGAGAAGACGGTTTTTGCACTGGGCAACTCGGACGTGTAAGATCGATGTGCAGAGGCCCGGGCCTGGATTCGGGCCATGGCCTGCATGCGCCGAAGCATGTCCGCACTTTGCTTTCGGACAATGTGGCCCCTTACTAGGGCTTGCAGCTTAACCAGCCCCTTAAGGGCCCTCAATGCCCTCCTTGCCTACATATACCATGAAATGTATCATATCTTTTGTTCAGGATTAATAAATTTAAGCTAGGCTCCCTACTGCATAAGATAATATTTGCTAGGAATTGAAAAACTAAAATAAAATATAAGCAGCGATCTTGCAGTTAGTATTCAGTTAAGTCTCATACAGGATAACTGTGAGTGTACATGCACAATGAAAACCTCAAGTTTCTAGATTAAGTGAAGAGAGAAAAGAACAGAGAAACTGTCATATAAGCCAAAACAGAACAAATGTCAGTTAGCATCATGTTAACTGGGGTTCTTTTTGCATCATGTTTTCTTTAAAGTCTCATACCAGAAAGCCTATGTAGATCCCAATTCTTTGCATCAACCAATTATAATCAGTAACAGCTAGGAAGTTGGAACTAGTGATTGCAGAAAGTGATAGTTCATAAAATCCGTACTTTTGCTACTTAGCAACTAACTACGCCCCGAATGTATATCACCAAAATTCAAAATGGAAATAAATTATAATGGTACACCTTAAAAGCTAGGATAGAAAACTATGTTGTGAAAGAGATAAAAAATAAAGAGGGAAAGAAAAAAAAAAAGCCAGAAAAGAAATGAAAAAAACGCACAACAGATTCGCCACTAATAGCTAGGAGAGGAACGAAATAGTAAAAATCGTTAAATGTATTTCGATGTTTATGCTTTAGTATATCAGTAAGACACACACTGCTATGTAAAAGAAGGTATTTTCTGAAGACTTTGCAAGACGGAAAATAAAAATCAACCACACATGCGATTCATGTATATGGTGATTACTCTCAACTCTAAAAACCCATGTTTTCTTTCTCTTCCTTTGTGTTCTTATTTTTAGGCTTTTAACAGTAATGACCTATGTCATGTTTAATGCACAACACAATCAAGAGCTCTGCACTAAGTCCTCCATTGTAGAAAAGATAAAGGAAAAAGTAAAGCCGAAGAAAATATTCACAATGAACAGTCCTAAATATACTTTCAAAAACCTTTGGGTCTTTAAATTTGTTAACATTGGTATCTTTTCCTCATAAGTCAACTTTCCCAATAAATTAAAGATAACAAAAACTACCACAATGTACAGTACAATAACAGAAAAATGCGGTTACTTTTCAGGATTCCAAATTTAAATATCCCCTTAAGCTCAAACAAACAATTCACTAAGAAATTTGTATTCTATAAAGGGAGACCCTCAAAAGGTGGATTTTGAAAATAAAAAAATATATAGGGTGTATTTCTAATTTTACAAGATAGTTGGAGTCATTGTTGACAATTCTCCTAGCATAGTGCTAATAATGGACTAAATCAAAATGACTCAATTAAATTCTAGTGCTTCTTCTATTAGTGAAGTTTCTAGAAAAAAAAAATATATCAAACGACGCAATGTACCTTGGGTCGCTACAGAAACAACCTCATTGTATAATTACAAGGGTAAGATATGCGTACAACTGACCCTAATCCGTTGGGAATATATTGGGTATGTAAAAGTTGTATTCCTGTGCATCTGAACTTTATACTAAAAAGGTTATACTTTTGTAACTAACCATTTAACAATAACCCTCTGAACATATAGACATGTAGAAACTTTACCATCCAAAGGTCATGAAAGTTCAATTTACTTGATATACCACTAACAAAAAGCAAAAAAGATGGCACCCCATATGTTATTAAAAATAAATGGAAATTTCTTATACAACCCAGAAAAATAGTACAAAAGAGATCTGTTAGATGAAAAAAGAATCACTGATCTGTGATTGTGAGGTGTCAAAGCCACTAGCTTTGGAGGACTTTGAGTCCCACATTGTGAAAAATAGTACAATCAACTGTAATTTTCCCCAACAAATAGAACCTCTTTTTTAATCCCTCTCTATATATCCCTCTCTATATATTAATTCAAAACGTGTTGAGTGTAGATGGCAGATTCTCACGCTTCGGATGCTGACATGGCGAAAATCTATGCCTCGTGATGTTGTTTTTTCATTATTTTTGTTCTGGAGTTAGGTTTGATATTAAACATAAAGGTGAATATTTCTTAGGGGTATGGTAATAAGGACATCTATTGTCAGAATGTGTGATATCAAAATATGTGACAAGAATCATACACTGGAAATCTGCAAAACAGATGAACAGGAAAATGGCTATCACCAAGAAAAGCAAAGATGGGATCTCATCCCAAAGGATAAAGTTCTTCATCATTTTCCCAGAAATGAATTTAAGTAGACAGTAACTGATCAATATTTCTTGTCCATATTTACTTTATTATGAATTTAATACAGTGCTGACATTTTAACTCTATAATATGTGAAGGGTTTTAGGTATAAACCCAAGAAATCTATGGTTCACTTTTTTTTTTTTT